ATCAAGAATTGACCTTTGTGACGTGTGTGAGCATGCCCATTTTCGAAAAAATTGCATGGGGAGGTGGAGCGGGAGGAGGGGTGGGGTGGGTCACGGAAAAAACACCAACATCTTCATTATTATATTTATGATCCCCATATCCAGTATTCTACTTGGTCCGACTTATTAAAATGTGCCCTTCACTTCAAAACTCAGGCATATGTACAAAGGAGCACCTGTACTAAAAAATCAACCAAGAGACGGTAGATAGATAACTACTGTGTGGTCTGAACTTATAGTTTTCATCGCTGCTGGTGTCCCAGGGCGCATTTGCAAGTGCGTCTCCCTGCAAAACGTCGACATTTTTTTCATTTCCTCCAAGCTACGCTGCGCTTCCTTCATTTTTACACTCCATATACACGATTTGGACGATCGGCTTCGCCTCCTCCTCGTGCCAGAATGGTGGCTGTTGGTGTTTTCACCTGACGCTCCCACGACACCTTCAATTCAAATGAGGCGACACCACCACGCATGAAAAATCACTTCTTATCACTGTGTACCGCGCGCGTACTGAGTCAGATCTGTGTCGACATGACATGTCGACACATGTCTGACCATGCGTGCTCTTCCCTCTTTAGTAACTTTTACGAATCCACTGGCCTCGGAGCCGGAGACGGGAGATCTTGTGACGGAGCTTTAGCATAAGCTTGATGTAGCGATGACGCATCGCGATCGCGGCTCCGAGAACTCCGCACCATTCACGCACCGTATCCGCAGAACAGTTCACCCTTTCTGCGCTTCAGTTTTCCACCCAGGTTTTCGCCTGAAAAGCGACCTTAGGGATGGCGCGTACTGAAACAGATCGGTGTCGAAATGATATGTTGACACGTCTAACCATGCGTGCTCTTCCCTGTTTAGTATCTTATTACTTTTACGAATCCACTGACCCCGCGAGCCAGAGACGGGAGATCTTGTGACGGAGCTTTAGCATAAGCTTGATGTAGCGATGACACATCGCGATCGCGGCTCCGAGAACTCCGCACCATTCACGCACCGTATCCGCAGAACAATTCACCCTTTCTGCGCTTCAGTTTTCCAGCCAGGTTGTCGCCTGAAAGGCGACCTCAGCCGTGGTTATTTATTTCGATCAACTACTTCTCGGCGATTTATTCTGTAATCTTGATTCGTGAACCGCCACATCGTGAACCACTGCGAGAGAGATCAGCAAACTGGACGGCGCGATGCTGGTGCTTTGTGCACGAGTTTCTGGATGACGAGTTCACTGAAATTCTGCGAAGGAAACAGCGACTGCGGCGATTTCAATCCGCCAGGAGGCACTCGAGAACGATCGCCCAGGAGTTGCTGGTACCCCGTGACAATTCTCCATCGCATTGGGGTGTTGATTTCAGCACCAGGCCTTCTCTGTGTTGCGCAAGAAGCAACAGGAGTTCTCTGACGACAAACTTTGGACGCGAAATGCGCGAGTCGACTAGGATCTTGAGGCGCTGCCTCCTTTGGAGTTAGAGCTATTTCCTCTTCAACATCACAAATCGACAACTGAAGGACAGTGGTATGTAGCTGGAAAGTTTATTCCGTCCTGAGATTATTTGAATTTATTTGCTTGACATTCGAACCGAAGCACACAATAAGTCGGACCAAGTGTACTTGAAGTATCTACTTTTTATACCCACTCCCGTCCGGGGCAATGATCAGGTACAACCATTGGGGTACAATCATGATGTCATACCCCCTTCACCACCTCCAACACCCGAAAAATCATTTTTGTACGTAAAAACCGGGCGCCCGGTTTTTTTACCCCCAAAATGGGGTACTATCAATAGTACCCCATTTGGGCTGGACCATGTACCTACCATCAAACCTGCTTTATACATACTACTAGCATCCAAGTGAAATAATGAAGCCCATATTGTGTCTGTCGTTTCGTTTGAGGGGGGAGGGAGGGGGTCAGGCCCGAAACTAACGGTCTTCGTTTCGGGAGCTTCTGCGAACTTTTGCGATGGTCCCTTAGATGGTAGCAGAGCCGCTCAGTGTTTGGCTCAAGCAAATCCGAGGCTTCCACAATGCAGTTTAAAGCATGTTTTTCTTACGTTCGAAGTTGAAAAGACGCGAAGCGTGAACTCTCCATTGCCCACACGAGAGAAGAGTATGTTCGTCATAAACGCGGAAATGGTCAACCCTTTCCGGGTTTATGAGGAGTATACTCAACATGCAGATCCCATCCAGTCTGGGCAATAGAGAGTATCCGTTTCACGCCTATTTCAAATTATGGGGGCTGAATTTTCGAGTCACTTCAAAAATAACGTGCACCTTAGCAAAGCGAGAGGAGAAAATAATGAGCACGTTCGCTCTTGCACCGGGTGAATATCCTTGATCTGAATTGGGGCTTTCTCCACTTCACGGACAAACAAATGAGTACACGGTGTCGTTTGGAACAAATTTCTGCATCTTCACCAAAATAATTGATTGCCTTCGAGTGAAGGTCAATAATATATGGTTGTGGAATCGATGCCTCGCTTCCCAAGATTGTCGTGAAGCTGCTTTCCTGATGTAAGGTGTTGGACAACTATGGGTTTCCTTTACAAACTAAGCTCATAGTAGCGTTTTCGATCCAGTCGATTTTAGTCTCATTGGAACGATTAGGATAAACTAGCCAGGAAATATAATAAAGTTTGTCCAAACTCGACCAGTCGTTCAAGAGTTTTGGTTGTTTGATGTGCTCTTGTTGGCACTTTTTCTGGAACTGTTTCGATTCAGGACCTTGGCACAAAACCGTGAAATTCGAAACCAACTAGAAAAGGTTAAAATCATTTTCGTTAAGGGTCTTTCAAATTTTCGACGCTGAAGACGATGGGATGGTCGCCGGAGTTGCGAACGGCCCAGAACAGGCCGAAATCGATACTGATAAAGTGCGCAGGGCGAAACACTTCTAAATTTCGTCGTGTGAAAACGGGACATACCGTCTCAACAGCAGAGACATATCCTCTTTCCAACAAAGAAACTAACTCGTCCTGAGCTGCTAAAAGTTTACCTGGCCAAGGCAGAAAACACAGTGAAGTACGATTGTGCCACGGACCCCGTGCAAACCTGTTTCCACTCAAAATGGATCTGGGTTCGAGGCAGCGAACACCCTGCTCATAGTAATTTTTCTCTTCAAGACGTATCCAAGGCGCCCAAATATATCAAAAGTCAAAATTATCAGAAATGATCAAATAGAATCAATGTTGTGATTTGAAATAGAATGATGCACCTTGAAATTCAGGGATGTTCTTCTTGCGGTCATTCCAGGTTAGGACCATAGCGTGTAGCTTAAAACGGTTTGCCACTGAGGACATAATTCCATGTAAAATGCATTATTTCATGTCCTGCGCACCCGACCCACTGACGCCGTGGTACGTTAAGTTTGTGGACTTGGGCATGGTGGTGAAATGAGCAGGATACACCTACCATGAGCTACGTCTTGCTTGCTGAAGTTCCTTAAACGGACAGTTGCTAGTATCAAAGTTCAAGGGTAAATTTTTGAAATTATTTTGACTACGAAGTCTAATGTACTCGTCAGATATGCATGCCGATCACATTTCACAGTACTCTTATTCACAAGTATTCTGTGTTGAGTACAGATGTTGTAATTTACATGATGGAAAGCGCTATCGACAATGAACACAGAAAAATCAACACTTTGCCGATATGCAGCCGTACTGAGACATTTGACATCACCTGTGGCGCATTTCCGCAAGACCAAGGATGAATTCCCGATGGATGAACTGGACACTGCTGTTTAGATCGCGTTGTTTCCACTGAGGCTACTCAGCATCCTCACCTTTTTCTTTCTTTTTACTGGCAAACACAGCCCTACTAATAATCAGGGGAAGAGGTCAACTGAAATGACAATGAACAACAAGACAAAGGAGATTAGGAACGATGTGCGGACCTGGTTGGGAAGACTCATCCGACCGTTGGTCTAGGAATCATAGCCATGTACAGGCATCCACAGGACGGCAGCTAGGGAGGAAAGGAGGGAGATCGAGTGAGAAAGGAGAGAGAGAGCCACAAGAAAGAGAAAGATAAATAAAAGAAAAAAACTTGTTTGGCGCAAATGGCGGTGGATTTTCGTCTGGAAGTATTGGAGAATCTTCAGCCAGGGCGTACATGTAGGTTCAGAGCACATGTCTGGCGGCAGCCTGATCTATTCATTAGCCATACCATATGGGATCGAACCCTGAAGAAAGTTGGGGGCCGTATGGGAGGGGGGGGCACTGTTTGTAGATGATGCACACGGAGCTGCGTGAGATGGGGCTAGCTTCCTGGCGAGGCAGCACGGGCGCAAAGAGGTCTGGATGGTCTTGCAGGCACCTCAGCTCCCCTTCCATCACATCGATGACCCTTGGGATACCCTGCGGGCATAACTTAACACACCATCATGTCCTCCTAGCCATGCACTTACCTATTACTATAGTTGTGGTCATCTCTGGCTTGTACCCAAGTATCCATCACATGCTTCTTTTCAAACGTGAATAATAATAATAAGAACCGGTCGCATATTGGCCGCATAAAAAAATCATATCGGGGTCATGCGTCTGTCAATGATCGTTAACCAGAGTTGCTTGTTGGTGGCGAGGTTGAGGCATTCCTGAATCGGCACATTCAGAGGTTCGAGGTCTTCTCTGATGTTGTCGACTCATTTGTTTGTGGGTAACGTGTCCTGTATATAATCGCATGCTCTTCCTGTGTAAACGTTGTTATTTTTCTGTCCGGTCAACAATGGTTGCTGTTCTTTTTCAAGCTTCCATCAAATTTCATTTATTTTGTCCAATTTAAACATGTGAAAAAATGGTTTTCAACAGAACACGGACAAGTGCCGCCGGTCTGGGTGTACACTGGTTGTCACTGGACCACTAAAACATTGTCTGCTTCTATCTTTATGGACCATCATAGCACTTTTATTGGGTGAGGTTTTCACTTACTGTGAGTAACTGCCGTGTATTTTGCCGCTTCGTTCACAGCACTATGTCCAAATCTCAATGACAGTGGTTTCAATTACAAACCTATTCCCGGTTTCAGCAGACAACCGGCGGGTGCCCCAGTACCCATCGAGTGCAGAACAGGTTTTCTGTCTAACAATAGTATGGATATAACCCAGTCTACATGCCAGGGCAATGGAATGTGGCATCCAAGTCCACCATTGTGTGAAAGTAAGTCTGTATCCCAGTGGTCCAAGGAATTCCCAATTCTGAAGGAATATTCCGTCCAGTTTCTGCTCACAGCATACTGATATTTTCATTTTGGTTGCCCTCATTAGTCAAATTGAACAATACGGTAGTACAGTATTATAAAGTACATCGCCATATTTATCTCATACAATATTAACCCTTTGAGACCCCAACGATCGAATTCGATCGTTTGGTATACAGTGACACTAAAATAATTATATCTCTGGTGTTCCTTCACCGATTTTCATAAACAAAGTATCTACGTTTCGAAAAGACCCTTGGCTATCATGTCGAAGTTATCCGAAGTCTCTAGGAGTTACGATGCCGCCGTGGTGAGACTCGAAGTCGGAGACAAACTGAAAAATGCACTCAGATCGAAAAATTCAAATTTTCACGCTGCACTTGGCATGAGATTTCCCCGGAATGGGACGTCATATTCAAGCATGCTGCACACCAAGATTTTGCGCTTGAAACTGGGCACTTCCACCGAAACTGGGTGACTGCGCCCTACTAGATGGGGATTTGTATGCAAAATGTCACTAAAAGCGCCATTTCGTTCTTATAAAAGCATGGATGACCGCGATTGGCCCATATGTTGTAGTCTTTTGGACGCTGAGTCGACTTGTTTTGGTCCGAAAAGGCTGCGATGCAGCGTTCCACCTTTATTCCCAATCGAACATGGTTGAACAAGCGGTCACGTGCTCCTGCGTACACCAGTCACCTGGTCACCGTGCCTGCAGGGTACAACTTACTAGCCTGTTTGACCTTTTTTGGGTGCAGTCCTGTTACTCGAGTTGAACTCGTGTTGAACCTTGGTGTGAAAGTTGTCGCCTGCTGGCGTGGTGGCCAGGTGATTTGGGCACCCAGGAGCACGTGACCACTTGTTCAACCATGTTCAATTGGGAATAAAGGAGGAACGCTGCATCGCAGCCTTTTCGGACCAAATCAGTCGACTCCGCATCCAAAAGACTACAACATATGGGCCAATCGCGGTCATCACTGCTTTTATAAGAACGAAATGGCGCTTTTAGTGACATTTTGCATACAAATCCCCATATAAAAGAGTTGGTGGACAAGCCGTTGATTATTCACTCTCATTGTAATATCAAAAAGTATTCTTTCTAGACCAAAGAGTGGTATATTTGATAACATTTAATAACGATAGAAATTTTTACGATACTTCTCCAGACGTTTCGTTGTTCTGAACAACATCGTCAGTTATCCACTGACGATGTTGTTCAGAACAACGAAACGTCTGGAGAAGTATCGTAAAAATTTCTATCGTTATTAAATGTTATCAAATATACCACTCTTTGGTCTAGAAAGAATACTTTTTGAAATCCCCATATAGTAGGGCGCAGTCACCCAATTTCGGTGGAAGTGCGCGAGTTCGATTGGGATTCAAGTAGGAAAGGAGCGTCTCAGCTTCCTCGGACCAAGACCATTCGACTCAGCACCCCGAAGACTACAACTGGTGAAATTTTAATTTTTGCCTTAACTTCCCCTACCCTTTAAGAGCCGCCCCATACTTGAATGCGTCGTAAACGACGCATTCAAATGCAAAACTTCAAAAGATCGTAACTCAGTCCAATCTCGCTCAAATCCAGTGATCGAAATATCCAGGGCGAAGAGAAAACTCTCACCTGTCGGGAGAAGCAATCCGCGAAGCGCTGCGAGCAACGGTTCCTGAGATAAATCACTCGTAAGTTGAGCCGCGATCGCGGCAATTTCAAAAGCGCGCAGTGCGACTTTAGTATTGAGAATTTTGAGACTTTTCGTCACGCTGGTTTACTCGAATTTGCACGGGTTTCACTGTTGATATTGTCAAGAGTACACAGCGAAAAAATTGGAACTCCACGATCGAGCAAAATGAAATATCTGGAGCGGGACGCAATTGGACGCATTTGGGGCATTTTTCGTACTGTCGCTGCGATCTAGCGCTGGATAGACGGTGTGCTGGCTATCATGATCGACCCCATTCTCTTCCTCTCGCGGAGACCTTTCCAGGAAGCCCTAGATTGTGAGGATTGAGTGAGTAGAACTGAAGCTATGATCCAAGGAACACGAAAAAATGCAGAATTTTGAAATTTTCCTGTGGCTCTTAAAGGGTTAACACCACGAGCACTAAGAGGCTTCTGTGGAATTTGATATGAGTTTGACCAGCTTTTTCTTTCATGAAGCTGTAGCTAATACCAGTTGCACAATGGTGTTTCATCCTGCAAGTGTGTGGTTTATTTGTGCTATTTTAAGTGTTCATGAGAGGGGATGGGTCAGGGAGTAAGGCCAAGTACAGGAAAATAAAATAAATCCAAAAAAGGTATGAAAGTTTAGCTGTCATCAAGAGATGAATCACTTTCAATGGAATATTGTTTGTGTTCTATATGCTGCATTCTAGGCTGCTCCATGGTTTGCAATAATCCCAGTGTTACCAGCTGTGCCAGGATCACTGTGTCTAACATACCAGGCATAAATTGCCCATGTAACGGTACTGATGAAATCTGGACAAGCTCTGCTCAGGACTGTGTGCGTAAGTAATTATGTACCACTGTTTGGTGCTGTAAAGTCCGTTCCTTAATCCAAATTGATATTCCGGCTGTTTTGGTGAACGTCCCATGACTCCATGTAGTATCATTTGTATGACTCCTTTTCACCTGTCTGTAGAGTGTGCTTTTACCTTTCGTTCTCTACCCATTCCCTTCTTCAGCAACCCATTGCCCAGCTCAAGAAGGAAACTCCCCCTTCGTTGATATTCCGAAATTGGAAGTGAATAATTCTACGTATGTGGCTTGCAATAATACCTACACTTCTACGGATAAAGGGAGGAACGTCACATGTATGCCGAACGGGACGCTGTCTAACCTACCAAATTGCACAGGTAAGAACTCTTCAGCTGAGTTTCTCCACTGCAGGGTCAATCAAGCCAGAGAATGGTTGGAAGAATCATGGTTAGGAGAGCATGCTAAAGACCTGGTGGCGATGAACCGTATTACTGTCACCTTTATTGTAATGCAACTACTCAGACTACACACCATATTTAACTTAAGAGAGCATGTCTGAGAAAACCAGAGCATATGTGCAAGTCGATCTCTCAGATTTCGCTCAAATTTTGCAGGTAGGTTTGCTTTGGGGTGTAGATCGACATTCCAAAGCCCGCGCAAAATCTTTTGAAGGGAACCATGAAATTGGCCTACCTCTCAATATTGGCCCAATATTGGCACGATTTATGGGTCTACAAACGAGCCACGGCACAGCGTACAAGAACAAGCTACGAACAAAACTCCATCAAGCCAACATTACCTCACCTTAGAAGAGTTCTTGGGGCAGCACCACTTAGCCACGCCAGCATCCCAGAAGACGAGGGCAATCATCCCTTGACGCCACAAATGATCGTCTTGAAAATAGCCAAATTACAAGCGCTGATAAAACAGCGAGCTACGTCCTCAATTAGCAAGCACTATACACCGCACATAGTAGAACACCTCTTCTAGCACTGAGGACATGTCCCCCATCATCCTTTTGGGGTTTTCTTGAAATAAACAATTTTGAATTTTTCCACTCGACCATTCTGAAATACGTCCAAACTCATACCTGCGCAAGAAAGCTCGCCCTCTGCGACGTCTAGTCAGCAATTTCTACTCCAACACCACTCCCAACGCTGCAGAACAAAGTGTATTGTTGACTTTGACAAGGAAAAGCAGCGGTGATCACTTGTCACTCCAAACGACAAGCTTCTCCTTGCGCCACCAACATTTGGCCCAGAATCTGCGAAAACCAGGCTTAGGGTGAAAATATTTTTGTCGAGAAAAATGATGTTTTGTAAAAAGGTTGTGTCGCGTGGACGATCGAGTGCAGTGAAGTGGAACCAAAGAGGATCTCGCATGTTTGAAGAAGTAGCAGTCATGGCAGGAAAGGTTTCAGCAGTCAGGGAAGTCAAAGGCTTCCGGCAGAATATTCCCTGCTACTCCTCTAGTCACAACGAAGAGTTTTTGAGCTGATCGAACGGATTCCATCTCCTACACTCAGGGATTGCGAAATTTCTGCACTAGCTGCTGCTTGCGGAAAATGGTGAAGAAATCGTCTCCAGTTAGAGTCGTGATGGCGATAGCGAGGAGAACCTGAACGACATCGATCCAGCCAATCGAAGTGCGGAGATGCTAGCTGTTTCTGAGCCTCACGCAAGGGAACACGCGCAGCAATGCTCATATGCTTGCAGCAAGTTCACGAGGAAAAAGGCTTGAAGCGCAGTGTGAAAACTGTTTTTGAATTGAAGTCCTTTACTTGGCGATGAAGTGCTACTGAATGCCAGGCGAATGAGCGAGCAGATCGAGAGGCCCCCACTCGAGACTTTCCTCGCTGGACAGCTAGCTGCAAGGGATTGTACAGCGTGCCGATATTTTACTTGCTGGTCAGCACTAAGCAGATACTGCAGCATGCCAGCACACTATGCGCTTACTATGAACAGTGGAACAGTTTGAAAGGCTGTGTTCTGGCTTGTTTCTGAACAGTTGTACTAGATTCACCTTTCAAAAGGCGGCATATCAACTGGAGTCGGGTTTCCTTGTGGTGTGTAGCGCCAGAGAATGCCAGTCATATATTCAGCCCCAGAATGTGCTGAGTGAAACAAAATTCGTGCAGAACTGTGCATGGCCACTACAGCCTGCAGCACCAAGGGGCCACAACAAGCCTGCCCCCACATGCCTTCCTTGTCATGTCACCTAAACATAAATCTTCCGTGTCTCTTCCTTCAGTCTGGTGGATCTCTCTTCTTTTCTTTCCTGTGATAACAATTTTGTGTTTTTTGAGGATTTTTTAACAGTACCCTGGTGTGTTTGAGATACTTTTAATACCACTATGAGTCGACCCACACCTGTAATATTTTGTTTCCTGACCTCCCATGACCAATAGAAGCTGAAAATCCGGAAAAGTCCTTTTGTGAAATTTCACCCTAAGCCTGGTTTTCGCAGATTCTGGGCCATTTTTCGTTGCAACAGTTGATGCAAAAGTGACTGAATTTTTGCGTGTAGTTTTTGGATTTTACTGCAAGAGGAATGATGAAATCACGTGCCTCGTGACACAAGAATGCCAGGTCTCGTAGATCACGGTTCAGCAGTTGTTCCGAGTCACCTTGATCAAGCGCTCCTGCATTTACATGGATCACCCGTTGATCTGGATCGGATCAAGTGCATCTTGATGTCCAGCTCAAGAGCACGCATGTCGTGTTGCAGGCCTTCCAGCTGGGACTTTCCCTCAACATGCAGCAGCGAGTAGGGTCAAATCACGTTGTTCATGACGTAAGAAATCTGCCATGTGGGCGCGCCACATACTTCATGCAACCAGTGTTGGCCGCGCGCTGGTCAACTCCAAGCGACCTTGATGGCATGGACCCCGCTCATTCCTTACTGTTGCACATCTACGTGGATCATCAGCATGTAAACCAGCCGTAGTTCCTGTTGAACCATGTTTGGGATGAGCGAGGTTAGTGTGAAAAAATGCATCCCTGTTCTTACTGCAAGAGGAAATATCTCAAAGAATTCTTGCCAATGCAATACTGCTAGCATTATAACGATAGTTTCTGCATGTTCTGAGCAGAGCATGTAAGAAATATAATGCATCTTACCTCCTCCCTCATGGTCCGTTTCGAATAGCGCCTCAGGAACGATCGTGATCGTGTGCATTGTGTCGTGCACCAGAAAGCATTATTCTACGTCACGATGATTTCTTCATTCCTCTTGCAGTAAAATCCAAAAACTACTCACAAAAATTCAGTCACTTTTGCATCAACTGTTGCAACGAAAAATGTTGGTGGCGCAAGGAGAGGCTTGTCGTTTGGAGTGACAAGTGATCACCGCTGCTTTTCCTTGTCAAAGTCAACAATACACTTTGTTCTGCAGCGTTGGGAGTGGTGTTGGAGTAGAAATTGCTGACTAGACGTCGCGGAGGGGCGAGCTTTCCTGCGCAGGTATGAGTTTGGACGTATTTCAGAATGGTGGAGTGGAAAAATTCAAAATTGTTTATTTCAAGAAAACCCCAAAAGGATGATGGGGGACATGTCCTCAGTGCTAGAAGAGGTGTTCTACTATCTGCCGGTGTATAGTGTTTGCTAATTGAGGATGTAGCTCGCTGTTTTATCAGCGCTTGTAATTTGGCTATTTTCAAGACGATCATTTGTGGCGTCAAGGGATGATTGCCCTCGTCTTCTGGGATGCTGGCGTGGCTAAGTAGTGCTGCCCCAAGAACTCTTCTAAGGTGAGGTAATGATGGCTTGATGGAGTTTTGTTCGTAGCTTGTTCTTGCACGCTGTGCCGTGGCTCGTTTGTTGACCCATAAATCGTGCCAATATTGTGCCAATATTGAGGGTTATACTGAGCTTGTATACAAACTCCCATCTCTCCCCACACAACATTCCAGACTTGTATTTTGCATATAACAGGTACTTCGATGACGAGAATATAAACTGGTATACAAACTGGTATATAAACTGGTGTATAAACTGGTATATAAACTCCTTTTTTTTTAGGATCACACTAGTGACCCGCAGTCCGCCTTGATGGTTTTTCGACATGCACTACGGTCCCAACTTCAGGATCTCTTTCCTGTCAACGATGAAGAATACAACGTCGTCTTTTTTGATGGAGGCTTACATTTCGCCTCCACGAAGACAAAGCGCAACATCAGATAGAACCATTCGTAATAGGTAAGTTTTACTGCGTCGTTGCCATTGGTGTCGTCAATGTCGCTGAAATAATCGTGTAACAGGTGCCTTGTGCTGCACCTGACGTTCGAGGCTGTCCTTCTTTCGCTGTTCCAGCACTCCGTCTGTCAAGGGCAGCACTCGACATGTGCGGCTGAAGAGCCCCGCGTGCCGCTACTTTGAGACAATTCTTGGAGAAAGGCGAGCCCTCCTGCGTGTTCGCATCGACATAGAATGCAGATAGCAGGGGCGACGGAACTTCACTACTGATGGTTTTCCAATCGATGTTCTCCTTTCCGCGTTCCTCGCAGAGCGGACGGAACATGCGCAGCCATAATCCGTGGCACTGCCGGTGTTCTTGGAAACTGCTGCTTGAATAATGGCATCGTGATTCGTGGTCGTCCTCAGAAGAACCAAAGAAACGTTTGGAAGTCAATTCAACAGGCTCGTGCTGATACATTTTACTCTTACTTTGGAAAGGAGACGAACTCTATGTCCCTAATGAGCAAACGGTTCTTTTACAGAGCCCGCGGTGAGATCTGCGCGCGGTAACGGTCACTAGCACTGTGAGGTTCAAACTAACTACTTACTTGGCGCATAGCTGTTACTTCCGGTGTAACTAGTACTAAACTGAAGTGAAGTCACAAAGAGTGTGTGATGGATGATGGTACATGTACTGCACTGCATGCACTGCACAGAGTCAGTGGTAGTCTTGTAAGTACTTGTTCCGCACAGGTTGGTGAAAGGAAGACTCGTCGAGCCATGGTTGTGGGTTGGAATTCCAATCTCTACCTTTGTGGGGGAGAGGGGAGTTTGTATATCAGCTCAGTATAAGCATAATATAACCTACTCAGGTGATTATATGGGAAATATAAACCAATATACAAACATCGGCTTCGCCTCGGTTTGTATACAGGTTTATATTTCCCATAAACTGGTTAGGTTATATTATATACGTGTACCAATTTCATGGTTCCCTTCAAAAGATTTTGTGCGAGCTTTGGAATGTCGATCTACACCCCAAAGCAAACCTACCTGCAAAATTTGAGCGAAATCTGAGAGATCGACTTGCACATATGTTCTGGTTTTCTCAGACATGCTCTCTTAAAAGGTCTAGAAAAGATAGTCCGAGTATCACGTTTTTGTCTTCTTCCCATCATTGGGCTCATGAAAGGGAACAGAGCAAAATAACTAATCCAGCAATTATTGTGTGGCTGCACCAAACGTAGCAACCTGCGCTTCCTGCTGACTGACTTGACACTTGAATGACTTATGACTGCTATTCAGAGCGCATGAGGAGCCGGTCGTACCTTGCACTGGGTAAACTTGCAAGGAAGCACCACTCCCTGCTCAATACAGAGGGAACTCACCAATCATCGGTTCGGCTTGTGTAGGCAGTTGAAGGTTCTGCACTGAAAAGACTGCATTCAGTAGTGTTTTCCAAGCCAAACCATCACTAGGGATATCTTGCACATTTGCTCTATGCATTCATTTTGCATCAGGCAATCAGGATGTGATGTTTTCACGCGATTGTACGGCATCATTGCGCAACCCTTTAAACTCAACTGCCGCTTGTTCTTGCTTCTTTTTTAATGAACTTAGTTTACAGAAGTCTCAGTAAGAGTGCAGAGATTCTTGAACAATCTCGTTATTCTTGAAATGGCATTAGCTTTCAACTTGATAATTGATATCAGGGTTCTAAAGTCATAAAGTCATTATGTGTTTTTCATGGTCCACATGTAGTTGTGCTCTAGGTTTTGAGTGTAGTGTTTGTATTTGTGTCTTTGTGTCTACAATGCATGTGCACTACTGGCTATGTGAAGTCATTCCTACGAATCCAACGACTACCGTGGGCAAGTTGTATTTCGTTTACTACTTTACTCTGCATTTGAACTGAGCACACAAAGCACTGCGCTGAGTGTTTGAAACACAGCATGATCGCGTTTATGTATGCACTTATTTCCACTGCATTTTGTTCATCATCTCGAAAATCTCTAGTATGGGGCACCAGGCTTTCCCCAAATCGGTCCGATTGTTTTCGCCTATTCGGCATGCTGAGCCCCTGAGTCCTTTGTGGACTCGTCAATGCAACACAGAAACATTTAGGCCGAACCTGATAGCAGAAGGGAGATTTTGCATTGAATAGACTTGACCTGACACGTTACTGACTAACGAATCCTATCCAAAGCACGCGAGAAGTCCAGGAAACCTTACAATCCGCAAACCTGCAAGACAAGACGACTCTTTGCTCAATACACAATGATTCTTGTACTTCAAGCCTGTTACAGCATTACTTGTAATTCTTTTACCCTCTTTTCTTTTTATAAATGCTATTACTGCTACTCGTTTATAGGGAGGTTTACTCCCACGTAATCTGTGGGTACTTTACGTGTGTGTACCACGTGATACTCAGTGACCCACGTACAGACGTTTTCTGATTCGCGACATACCGTGTATGGAGGCTCACCCACGTTCCGCCAGCACGTGGGTGAAAATCAGAATGGAGCGCATTTTGCGAGCTGTGAGGGTGCTCAGCTTAAGAAGTTTCCGAAGCACGAAATCAAAATATTGGATAAGCTTCTTAGGCCGGGTAGCTTCGTCTTTGACCAGGTTTGGGCCTTTTGCTTCATGGTTTTGGTTTCGGTGTGACTAAAGACAACATTGCAACGCGGGTGCCCTTCATCCACTTTACGTGGATCACCCACGTACACGTTTCCGTGACGTGGGAACTAAACATCCCTTACACCAATAGCAACCAACGCGAGACATTCAAAGCTCAAACATACTAGAACTTCCAGCTTTCATGGTACACACGAAACGATTTATTTCAAAATACTAAAGTGCAATAATTATAGATCACGTTGTGTAATCATAACATGTGCGGATAAGGTTTGGGCAGGGTTATGTGGTTACCCACGATCATAATGATTCTTATTGCCGATAGTTCTGAGGAGCAGCAAGAGCGGATGCAGTTTTGAGAGCTCTGCATCCTTTTGTGAATGTGGTAGTTTTTGGATCCATATAAAGCATATCTAGGGTGTGCCCTTATAACCTTACCACCAATCATGGCGAGCACTGGTAACTCGAGACCCCGATGAATGGCACTGACCTCGGAGCAGATGCGATAGACGTCCGGGAAATTTGATTGCCCACTGGGGACCAAAGTGGCGGATGTCACGAATGCACTGGGAGATGCTGGATACAACGACCTCACATCTGTCCAGATAAGTTCACAGCATGAGTGCATTGTAACCTTCATGTCCACTGCGAGTCTAGAGCGTGTTGTTCGGGAGGGCTTTTCTCTGTTGGACAAGAATATTTTGGTTTCAAACGTACTGGATTCGATCCTCCAGCTGCATATATCTGACCTCCCTGTCTGGATCTCGGACATTGCATTGACGGACGCTCTCAAACCGTGCGGTAGTCCCGCTTCAACAGTTCGATACGGGCAAGTCACCACAAAGCACGGCTTCAATGTTACAACCGGGGTACGCTTTTTAAGCTTCAAACTAGGGAAACAATGCCCCTCCATTCCATCCTACGTTCAAACGGCAGGGGGTCACGTCTTTGCCGTACAGTATAAGGATCAACCTGGCCGCGGACTGCCCCACCAGGCCACGCACCCCTCGTGGAACGTACGCTAAGAGGGTCAAATCGGGACCCTAGAAAGGGCGCGAGGATCAGCCACTGCCTGAAAGCCTAGCCTCTGCAGTCAAATCGGGACCCCAGGAGGTCATCGGTGCAGACAAAGCGCGCGAGGATCAGCCACAACACGAGAGCCCGGGCGCTTCTCCAGCTGGTCAGGTCGACTCGAGACCCCTGGAGGAGGGCACGAGTACACATGGCAGCCAAGACTCAGCTTCTGCCGTAAGGCCACCCTATCTTTTTTCGTTGTTTAACGTCCGCGAATGTACAGTCAGACCTCCTATTTGCTGTACAAATACCTAAAACGGTAAAGGGTTAAGCGAACAGTATTTCGCTACAACAGGGCAGACTGGGATCGCCTCAGGGCGCACCTTCGCAACGTGGAATGGAGTGATATCATCACGGAGGACCCAGAAACTTCCTGTGAGCAGGTTACCACTTTGATTACTGCAGCTGTTGCACAGTTTGTTCTATCCAAAGTTTGTGAAACGAGGCCTTCTGATCCGGTATGGTGGACGCCTGAATGCACCCAGACGGAGAGGGAGAAGGAGAAGCGCTGGCGCGACTGGAGAAAACACCCTTATGACCCAGTACTTCAGCCGGCATTCACCGATTCCGTGACTGTAGCGATCGCCACCCGGTTCCGATCACGACGTGCAAAGGAGGACAGCCTCCGTCGCAGCCTCTCAACTGGGTCCCTCAGAGACAAACAGTGGTGGACGAAGTTGAACAACGCTGCTGGCAACCGCACACAGCCCGAAATTCCCTTAGTTGTCGACTCTGACTGCCGTGAGTGGGCGACAAGCTCAGAGAAAGCAGAGGAATTCGCTCGCTTCTTCTCGCAGAAATGTAGCGTTGCTGGTCCGGACCTTGTGGAGGCTGACCTACCGGACCCTGCTCCCTCAGAGGCTCCACCTCTTCGCACCATCCGCTTTCGCCCACAGGCTCTCCGCCGCAACCAGGCAAGGCGCGACGTCTCCAAGGCTACCGGGCCTGACGGTATTTCTGCTCGCGTCCTTAAGGAATGTGCTCATGAGCTCGCAGAGCCACTGTCCAAGTTATTTGCTTTATGCTTCCGGTCTGGAGTGCAACCTAGGATGTGGAAGACGGCCAACGTGGTTCCGATCCACAAGCGATCTTCCCGCTCAACCCTTAAGAACTACAGGCCCGTATCCTTACTGTGCATAATCTTGAAAGTTATGGAAACTCTTGTAAACAGACACATCGTAAACTAGTTTGAAGACCATCATCTGCTCACGTCGCACCAGTTTGGATTTCGCGGAGGCCTCGGAACATCGGACGCTTTGCAAGCTCTGTGAAATAGAATAGTTCGCCTCTCTCTCCACAAGTATTTGATATCATACTGCACGTTTATTTATTGCTTCAAGTTATAGATTTTGAATTTGTACGTCGTGTTCTTCGTTTTGAGACTTTGCTTACCGTTCTGTTCTGTTATCCATACTCTGCATTCTCCGCGCCTGCTCTGTTCCTTTCTTCTCTTGCTATTATCATGTTTCCTTTCTTCTCTGACTCACTGACTGTCAACTTGTCTAGTTTCGAATTGTTTCATTGTCCGCCAGATTGCAGAGATCGTTTCCTGCATCGTAGCTCACGGTTACTTTTCGAACACATTTTTGCGTAGGCATTTTCACGAGTTGTGTTGACGTCATGCCCTATCAGCTACGCGTCATTATTGCGAGCATGCGCATTGCTTTTGCCTTCTGCCTTATTTGCATGCTGCGCTTGCTGCAAAGCGGGTTAGCGTCCCCACGCTTGCTGGCCGAAGCCCCATTGACCGCGCCGCGTGCGTACTCGCACACGTCAGCCGGGCTTCTCCACGTCGCCTTGCCCCGCCCCCGCCGGTTCCGTGGAGTTCCGGTTTTATTTCTCCTTGTTGATTAGCTCTCCCAAGATTGAGTTGTTGTTTTCTATATCCTTACCTAACTAATTCATTTCCAAGTATCAGTCCTTTTATTTACACTACTGTCAGAGTCCGCCGTTGTGAGTGCTGTGTGCATGTGCGGAGTAGTAGTGGTGAATAATTGTTGTGCGTGCGTTACACAACAGAGTGGTGCCGAAACCCGCCTTGGATTTGAGGATCGTTTGGTCGTTTGTGTTGTAGTGTTCACCTGTGTTGGTGCGTTTGTGGCAGTGGTCGGTGCCCGTGCTTGTTTCCCGCAAGCTGTTCTACTAGCGTTTAGTATCGTTATTCGTAGTGTGTTCTGTTCAGTATGAGTCTCAAGCTGAACAATTTCCTTCGTCCCTTCAAGGGCAAGGGGACGATTTCAATGCATTTCGCTCGAAATTTGGTGTGTTGGCCAAAATATCAAAATGGACGTCGGACGACGACAAGATGAAACACCTTCCGCTCTCTCTGGACGGCGACACGTTTTTTGTGTATGATCGAGTGTCGGACACCGACAAGGCAGATCCGGATGTTGTGTTCGGCAAGTTGTCATCTGCGTTCGCCGTGATGAAGTCGCAAGCATACGGCCTGTTTGTACAGCGTAAGCTGAAACCCGATGAGTCGGTGGACGCGTACGTCGCCGATCTGCAGCGGTTGCTGGGCCTGTCTGGTCACAGCGCGACTGATGATGAGGATACTGTCGTGATAGAACAGTTCATCAGTGGGTTACCCGTAGAATTTATCCAGCCCCTGCGCATGGCCACTGCTGGGAAAAAATTGAAAGTGTCCGAGTGCGTGGAGCAGGTACGTGCTCTACAAGCTACGCATGCTGATTGTACACGCAGTCCGATGGTGGTCGCCAGTGCTGCACTTGGAGGTACTGGAGGTGCGTCCCGCAGCGTATTTTGTCACCAGTGTCACGAGCCTGGACATATTCAGCGGAACTGTCCTCGCCGAAAGAGGCACCATGATCGGTATGGCGGTGGAGAACGAACATGCTTCTTCTGAGACAAGCCTGGCCATGTCAAGTCTACGTGCCCGGAGCGAAAAGCTTGGATGGCGGCTTCCGCTGGCAAATCTGCTGCCGGGGTATCAGAAGCTGACAAGAAAGCCCCAGTCCTGTGCATTTCAAGTGCCTCTGGTCCTGGCACCCTCCCGAGAATGCATGCGGACGTACGTCGTTGTGGTGTCAAGTGTAACTGGGAACGTGTCACCGCTGTTATTGACAGTGGGTCAACCCATACACTGATCTCTGCTAGCTGCACCTCAGTACTGCCCGCCAACTGCCCGGTCGATCGCACG